AATGGACCATCCCGCCGGAACTCCACGGGTCATTCATGGTTCAAGGGAAGAAACGACATGTTTCAAGACTTCCGCGGAGCGAGAGATATATTTTCGAGATCAGGAGCAGCAATCACTGCATTTTGACGGCTTCTGGAGCCACGTGTGTCCAGATTTGGCGAGCCTTAGCCGAGATCGGTCGAGACGTCTCGGCAGGGCCAGGAGGAGGAGGAGGATATATTATACTGACGCGGTTCCACAATCCAGGCAGACTTTGCCGAGACGTCTCGACCGATCTCGGCTAAGGCTCGCCACATGGCTCCAGAAGCCGTCAAAATGCAGTGAATACATGCAAGTCTAGTAACATTCCTGCTATAACAACCCCCCTTGTTGTAGTTGGCCTCATATCTTGCTCAAATCTTGGCTGATTTCCACAATCCTTGGACTATTAGAATACAAACTTTTGAAACTCCAAATGTGAAGCGACTTAAGCAATTGGGCAAGGTATGGCCAAGGTATGAGAAAGTTACTGCAGGGGGGGGGCGAGGGTTACAACATGCGAGGCACGAGCACTAATATTACTGTAGCGTCTGTCTATGAGAGACTAGGCGAGGGCGTGTGTGTGTGTGTGTGGTATATGTAATGTATCTAGGTATGAATTATTTTCAAGTATATAGCCCATAATCAAGCTGGAGTCCTATTGACCGTTCCAAAGCCAGAGCCGGGATACATAAGTACAAATTTCCACTTGCTCGCATTTGCTTGGACGTAGTGAGTGCTTATCATACCTTGGCATGGCTATCCCCAGATTTTATATTTTGATCATGAGTATGGGACATCCTGCGTTGCAGGCGATGTAGGAAGCAAACCAGAAGGGCAAGAATTCCCGACCCAGAGGATTCCGACTGAGCTGGCGGTCACCTCAGAGTCCGTGGAAGTGAGGAGCATCACAAGGGTGAGGGGCCCAGAGGGGGAGAGAAACGCAGGAGAATTCCAGCTCTTATGGTGTGCTATAAAACCTGAGGGTAAGTAGGACAATAACGGTTCTCTTGCGATTCTTGGACGATGAGTGAAAACAGAGAGGCCACGTGTATCGCATCACTCGGACCAGCAGTCCGATTCGGACTCCGAAAGTCGGAGTTTGAATTAGTTGGTTCAACTAACCATTTACTTATGTCGCACAGTATATGCGGCACGAGTCAGGCACGGTGCTGACGTGCCATCCAATGAATTACGATACAGAAGGAAAGGCGAATAAAATCCTGTTGTACATTGTGGACAGCCCTGAAAAGATCTCTACTGGCTACCTACTGGCTACCTAAAATATCCGGGGACGATCACCTGGACTGGAGAACGGATTCGGTGTGCTGTGCACCTGAGGCAATTCAGGGGCGGTGTCCTGGAACGAATCAACCGCAAACTTCTCCGGGATCCCATCCTCCAGCGAATGTGCCTTGACCCGTAGAATGGGCTGTCGGCGACCGGTTATGAGGCGGACGAAGGTTAGGTTCAAGAACCAATCCTTCGCACTGGGCGCCATCTGGATGACCTGAATCAGGGGTGGCAGGATGACGAAGAGCGCAAGGATCTACACTACATCAGCCATTGATATCTACCGCAGTAATGGAGCAAACAAACCTGGCCGAACGTCAGCGAAAAGAGGTTATCGGGTGTCCCCAGAGTCCGGAGCTCGTTCACCAAAACCCAGTAGATCATGGGGACGAAAACACGCCGCAGAAGTGTAATAGTGGATACTGTACGGCCAAAACATCCCTGGCAACATGAAATTAATGATAATGTTGACGATCAGTGGAATACTCGATACCAGACGACCCAAATCTTCCACCGATTATTCTGAGCCCGACACTGCTGAGCGAGCAGATGCCTCTGCTTGATTACGGCGTATATGAAGCTGCCGACCAGGATGAGGAACGGGCCGAGTGTAACCACGAAGAGGAACCCCGCAAAAGTGCCGTCTTCGGAGGGAATCGCCGCGATTATGAGCATCACCAGAATGACGCCAGCGTAAGGGACGAAGAGGAGATTCAGAAATATCCCGGTAACTGTCCTGTATGCGTCATCGGACTCGCATGGGTTTGCAGCGAAATGGTCCACAGTCGCAGCCCCGGTGAATATCACGATCGCAATGGAGATGAGGGCGAATGAGATGACGAGAAGACGGGGAATGAGATGTTCACGGCGCTTTGACAGGATGATGTCGAGACGATGGGGGCGCCCGCAGAAACCAAGGATGGCGTAAACAACCAGGGCTGAGGACTATATGACAGTTCACATTCAGCAGGAAGTGGAGTGGGGGTGTACCTACCAGGGGTGACATCACAAGGAAGATGGTCATGCCGGAGTGGAAACGCGACAAGCTCCCTTCCCGGCAATAATACCACTGATGAGCAAGGAGTAGACCGTCAGGAGCTGGGTCCACACCGCAGTCGAAGATTCTTGCGGAGAGAACATGAGAACAATGCCGAGCAGCAAATTGGCCATGTAAGCTGGTGCCAAGCAAGTTAGCAATTATCGCGGAGTTTACTAATGTGTTTACCCGAGAACCGCACAAGAATGCCAGAAACATCTGTGTTCGGGCAGCGTTCCCAGCTGACCCCACCGACTTTACATAGATCTAGATCACTGCATAATCAGAACAACGCTTCAGTACAATTACTGGACGATCTGCATGACGGTGCGTACGAGGCGATCTGGTCGGGCTGCCGAACAATATAAGTAATGGTTCAACAGAGTTGAATCGTGGATCATACCCTGAGGCAAACGGCGCTGATGTAAATGGGGAAAAATTCATCGTACATATTCAACGGCTTCTCGAACGTGAAATTGATAGGGTTGGTGATCCTCAGCTGGACGTTGTCGAGATTGATGCCCTGGATCGGCCGTCCGACTTGCGCACACGCGGTATGAAAGTCTTGGGGATGCAGTAAGATTCCAAGCGGATGATGATCTAATGCCCCTTACCCTCGAAGGTTTTCTTCTCGTTGAAAAGATTGTTCGCCAGAACAGCCTTGGTCCCTGAAAGCGAGAGGCGGCACTTCGAGCAACCCTCTTGTGCGACGGAGTAATCGTCGGTACACCCGCATGGCACAAGATTGAGTCCCGTCACATTCGCGCATGACTGCGACGAATTGAGTTAATAAAAAAATGATCTTGATCCCAGTAGGAACGTACATCGTCAAGAACAGTTTGGGGCTTCTGGCAGTCCGCTTCGCATGGGTCTGATGTTGTGTTAGAGCTCGGCAGAATCAGGCCCGCGCGAGAATAGACGGTAGATTGTGTAGTGACAGAGGTAGCCGAAACTGAGAGGGCACACGTTAGAGAGTGCAGCGACATCGCGAAATGTAACTCGCCGTTAATGGTGAGAAACAAAAGAGCACCAACAGACACGGAAAAGCCTAGCTTCACCATTGTGAACAGAGGGAAAGAAAAGATCAAAAAGTGACACCAAAAATCTACAACAGAAACCCCGGCTCGCAGGAGAAGAAGAGAGAACATGGGAGCACCGGACTGGGCCGTATATAAGGATGATGTGCCACAGATTTCATGTCACGATCCTGGGCCGATTCATTGAGATCGTTGATGTGAACTGCCTCCCGCGAACTTGAAGCGGCCACAAAAAAAGAAAGTGAGCACGCCATCTGATTCTTGGTGTGATATGGCTCCCCTCAACTCCATAGAAAATTGAGAACCATAGCTGGCTCATCGCTGCCGGTCTACGGATTGTCCTGAGGAGACAAAACTTTGCCTATGGTTAGAGGAGAAGGCCACTGTTCGTGCAAAGTTTCAAATCCACAAATTTTCCAAGGGCTGACTTTTGCACAGGTTCCACAATGAAATCAGCGCCGAGAGAGATGAAAGATGAAGAGTTGTTGAAATCTTGACATAGTAGCCATGATCTTGATGAGTTGCCTCGAGTCAGACTGAGAATCAGAATACGAAGCAAAAAAGAAGCAGATTAATATTACGGTAGCGCATAAATAACTACAGAAAGTTTTGATCGGGAGTATCCAGAGGATCTTTTCGCGCATAAGAGAAGAGTTGTTGGATTCTTGACCTGGTGAGCAACCATCAGCGCGGTCCTGATGAAAAAAGCAAAGAAAAGAAAAGAACGGAAAAACGGAGACATTCCGTGATCGGGCGTCGCCTCACAACAGATAACAGACGCCAGGTCAAGGAAAAGCGGATTTCGGTAGCGCATAAATATATGCGAAAGTACGTGGTGAGGCTGTATTCAGGAAGATCCACGAAGGTGTTCTGCGGCGCTGTGTCTTTTTGGGGATATGGCCGCCCATAAAAGATATGGTGATCGCTTCCCGCTAGCATCGGTAAGGACAAGATAGGTAACAGAAATTCAAGTTCGACGGAGGAATGCCGCATTCTTTTTTCCAAGAAGAGTGGGACGCAGTACACGGCTGTTGCTTGCGCTGGTGCGTGCCCACGAGAAAAAGTAGAGCTATGTGCTTAGATGAGTTGCCACCTCGTTATCAACGCGCGGAATTCTCCTTTCGCTGTGTAATACTTGAGAACCGACAGTTCCAGTGCACCTCAACAGGGCACAGGCTCAGGCAGCGTCGTCAATCATGATCAGATTGCGGGCACACCGATTGATGACCCTCAATAGCTCGTGGGAAGGCGGCGTGAGACGCCGCTTTCACTGGATGGCAACCGCATAGGATTTCAACCGACTAGGTTTGACCATGGAGGCCCGTAGGTGGGCTGGCTTGGTGGTGGGTGGTCCACGCTTGCACTCAATGTTCGTAGCAACATGAAGTAACACTAATTGCAAGAGCCGCCCGTTGGACTCGGGCCTGACCCACGTACTTGTTTTTATCTTGTTCTTTCTGACTGGAGGGTCAGCCAGTTCGGCTCATTGGTGTGGAATTCGTTCTGAGTCGTTATGGGGCCTTGAGTTGGAATGAAGCTGGCAGGTTGGTGATGAGAATTGAGCGCAAGTTGAAGAGAAGTTGAATTCGTCTGATCTGTGCAAAACGCTGGATATTGGCTTGGTGGTGGACGGTCCACGCCTGTGTTTTATGCACGTAACCTGGATGTATATGACAGCAGGAGGCGCCCGTTCGACTCGGGCCCGAGTCACTCTAGGGTTTGTATATGGGACTTCTTTGTCGACTCATCTTTGATGCTGGGGCCTCAGCGAATTTTTCAACGGGCCGAATAACTTTCTGTTTTCCTAGGCACGCAAGGTGGAAAAAGACATCGCAAATCGGTTCTGATTTGAAATCTGGCCTAATTCTGGCCAGAGCTCGACCTTGGCGAGCATTTCACAGTGAATTTCGCTCCACAGCGGTTTCCGGGATGGACCAGGGGATGAAGAGAACCAAGAGAGAACGGAAGAACTGAGTTACCCTCATCATGACGTGTACTGAATATCAGAGATACATTAGAGCTTATTAGCAACCGATGAAAAATGGATTTTTCCGTATCAAGTCGCCAGTTGTTTTGATTGTGGAGCCATAACGTTTCTCAACAAGTTCGAGAAATTTGGCTGGTTTCGGTCACATTTTTCTGTTGTGGAGCCTCTATTTTCAACAGTTTCGCCTAGTTTTCAGCAGATTTTGATTTCATCGGTTGCTAATAAGCTCTATTGCGCAGCTAATAAAGGTTGTGCCACGCACTGCCAGTGGAAAGCACGTTACAGAATCTTTGTTGTGATCTAAGACTGGCTCCTGCGGGATAGTACGATGTCACCGAAACGCCGTGATTGGGTCTACGCGACTCGCGGCTACGCCAGTCAACGCTCGACAGCGCAAGTACCGCCCGTCTCCGAGACTTTCGAGACGCGCGCTTGCCACTCGCACCCCATCGCTCCGAGTCGGCTCCTGTTCCTGTTCCTCTCCCACCGGCGTGCCGCTCCTCCCCTGCGACTCCGCCACCGGATCGCCCACCTCTCCCGCGTCTCCTTCTCCTCCGTCTAGCACCCAACTCCACCCTGAGGTGCTCGTCGGTGCGCGGCGCCCCTCGCTCTATGTGCCACGTGGTCGGCACCTGCAAACCCTGCTTCGTCTATAGTACTCGTGCGCATCGCATCACCGCTCGGCACTGGAAGTGGAATCTGGACAGTGGACGCCTGACCACGCCCGCTCCCCTGCACTCTGTATCCGCTTCCCCAGCGAGCCCACGTTCGCCCCAAGCTCGTCGACCCCGCACCACCTGCATCCTTACTGGGTGCAGCTCTGTCGGCGCTGCCTACAAGTCAAGAACCCCGCCCCATCGTATCGGGGCGGATACAAGCCCTCTCTTTTTCGTGGACGCGCCTCTGCCACAACCACCGGCAAGACGCTCCTCCTGCGCACATCGATCGAGCGCCTATGGCTGTGGTCAGCGCGGGGAAGACGCTGCACACCCGATTGAACACGCCCCTCCCCACGCGGAATATGCTCCACTCCCAACGACCCCTCCACACGTCCGACCCGAGCCGCGCTCGGCACCGCAAACGGGAGCACGGCGCCTAGTGGCACCCAACTCATTCGAAATGGACAAGGAGTCGGAGTGAATGACCCGCAATGCGACGTGCAGTGCGTACGCCTCAATCTCAGGACGCAAAGGGTTCGCCAGGCTGGGCCGTGCGTACGTCCCCTCACTCTGTGCAGCGCCACGTAAAGGGTAAAGCTCTGCCCGCTGCGCAATCTTGCCCGATTCTGTGCGATCTTGCCACTCAAGAGGCTTTATCGGGGCCGACAGCACGGGTACGGGCAGAATGACTGCACGTCCGCCGAAATGGGGGGCTCCTTGTCCCTGTGGACGGCGCGGAAGCCAAGCCTGGTGTGAGTGGGCAGGATCGAGCACGGGGCGCACGAGGCTGTCGGTCGATGGGCGCGATGGCGTCGAGGCAGGATCTGTAAAGCGGGAGAGCGTACGCACGAGACTCGTGTTAGTCATGGTTTGTGTGCACATTGATTCGAGTCGGGATGTTATGGCGAGGATGGTGAGGGCGCGACGCTGCTGCAGTGAGTTAGGGGAATCCAGCAAGGGGTTGCATCACCGACAGGAACCGGACTCGTCAATCCGAATGAGCCTTCGAAAAAGACAAGAGACGCTTGTTTGCGCATGTGTGCCAGCGGGCCACGTCAATCAAACGCGGTCACGCGTTGTGATTTTGACGCGCACATCCATGGCGCGCGACTTGGTTAGCTTGGCCTATAGTCAAGTTGCAAGGGTTCAGTTTTTTTCTGAGTATGGGCATCGCTTTCCACATTAGGGTCAGTCAGAGTAACTTTTAATGCGTCGTTTCTGGACTCGTTTCTGGAGTCGTTTCTCGAATTATGAAAAGGAATTAAAGTGTGGGAAAACCGAGAAACGCCTCAGAAACGCCTTTGGAGGAGTTTCTGTAAGTCGTTTCTACACCAAAATATATCCCAAGTCGTTTCTCCCCACGTTTATGATGTCAACAATTTCGAGAAACGACTCCAGAAACGACTTCAGAAACGACCCTAGAAACGACCCCAGAAACGTCGAAACGACTTACTCTGACTGACCCTATTGGATCAGAGCGTGGTACTGTAGACTGTAGCTGTCTCACGATCCGCTATCCATCACGCCCTCGTGGATCAGCTGGTATAGATCGCTCCGTACAGATCATAAACCACATTATCATCCTATCGGAGAGCCGCGGGTTCGATCCCGCCGAGGGCACTGAGTCTGTTGAAGAGAGTTTTTGCCTCTTTTACTGTTGATTAATCTCTCAGTATTTGTACTGTCGGTTAATCTCACAGTGTGTCACCGTGCTTGTTACGTGAAGCATGAAATTCGTATCCCTTCAAATATTCCACCGAAAATTCTCATATCAGAGAACCGGAATGTATGGGCGACTTCAACGCGAATTGATTCGTCCATTTCGCTCCCCCGTGCTCGACGCCATACATGATTAACTAGCAGTTACCCGTGCTTCGCCACGGATTTTCAAAATAAATAAATAAATCTATCTTTCCCGCTCGCACATTCCGCGCAGTCTGCACCAGAAGTCGCTTTTTTCATTCTCACTCTGCTGGTCGGGATCTCCTAGGGCATCTCGAGCCAGTGCAACTGGTTGAATATACTCTCGTCAGTGCAACAACCTTAATCCTCATGGAATGTGCAACAAATTGGGCAGCCATGTCAAAATTGTTAGGCTTGGGCACTGCAACATGTCCAGTCTAAACAGAAACTCACCGGATGTCGACTCTCTAGCTCTGTTCTGCCGGAGCGTATCCCCAATCTTTTGGACATCAGTCCATAGGCACCGTCATCAGGCTTTTGTCCATTCCTTCCTCTGGGTGACTTGGTTGTCAGAACTCCGTTGACACAAAGTTCAGAAGTACCTTGGGTGAGTGCGATCTCTTGACCGGTCTCGGTCCAATGCAACAAATACCTTTTATCGCCCGCTTATACAGTCTCTCGGGCTTCTCGGTGGGCTCGAAATTGATGAAAAAGTTGAGCTTCTCAAAGCCCTTGCACGGCTCCACGCAAATTCAACCCATAGAGATAGTGGGACTAATGTTCTAACTCCTGCCTGCAGCTCCTGCACAATTGTTCTTGAACCTGATGACTGTAAAACGGGCTGATTATCTGGGATGGACTCAGACTCTTTTACTTCTTTGTTTCGTACTCCTCTGAAATCCGACTTGATGCCAAGTTTGTAAAAGGTTCTATTGATTGCAACTAGGCTCACCCCTCATGCACCCTTAGAATCACTTTCTTGATTTCCGGAAGTTGAGCATGTCTTTCCTTTAACCCAAGTATATTTTCTCTCTGCTCATCCGATTCATCACTAACAACCTCCCCCATTGTTGTCGAATGACCTTGCCACACAACATCCCAACATCGCCGCAGAGTTGAATTTAACCTCGGAGATCTGTGGGCCGTAGGTTGGCTCCATTGAATTGAAACAGTTGCAAAGGGGTGCGCCATCAGGTTTTGGTGATTTCAGTCTCTCGGGACCTTCGCCTCAGCTGGAAACCATCTTGACAGCATTGTGGGGCAGGAACCTAACATCGGTTCAACATTTGTACAACATCTCGACAGTCAACTGTGGAGCCCAATCTTCTCGTTCCCACGGGCGCCATTTTTGTCCTGACCAAACCACGTCTTTTCTTATATACTGTACCTCCCTGTATTGAAGCAACGGTCACGGTCACGGTGGTGGTCGTTGCGTTGCAAAATCTTAGCAAGGTCACGGTCACGATGAGGGTGGTTGCCATAAAATTACCGTGACATTTCTTTTTTAAATGGTGGGTCACGAAAATGGTTCTGCTGCTTGAAAAGCCCCCAAACTCAAATTTTCAGCAGCCACATGTTGGAAAATGACGGTTTACACTGCCAGAAATGGCCAAAGAGTATATTCACTGTTGCTTTTTTCTGCAACAGTCACTGTCACGAGGCTTCCTGTTGCCTCAGAAAAAAGCAACAGAAATGTCACGGTCGAACTCGCGTTGCTTCAGTACAGGGAGGTACAGTAGATGACCTAGATCCATACATTTTCCGATTTTATGGTCGACGATGTTTTGGTCCTTCCTCATCTTCCTTTAGCTCTTTTGCCCACTTGCAGCGACATCCGGAAAGTGAAAAACCAACATCTCGACATCGTTGTGAAGTCAGATGCCATAACCCAACATGACGAACTCAGATCCAATCAACGGATGAACCCGGTGTGCTGCTCCACTTTGACGTTTGTCCTAGACACCCACCTCTTTTCTTTTATAGATATTGCAGGCTCAGCTAGAGGACTAAAGTTTTCGTGGATCAAGGTTGACCCCTTCCTGGTCCTGTAGAGAAACAAATAGAGTTTGAAAGAGTAGTGCGTTCGATTCCCACCGAAGGCATGCAACAGTTGCCCTGTGGTTTTTTCTTGCTCTGTTTCTCTTTCCTCCTCCGTATCCCGTCAAAATCCCATCCAGACCTGATTATTGCAGTTGCATATGTAGTGGCACACCATCAACTTTGATGTGATTGAGTGATAGTTTATCACAGATTGAGTTGTGCCAGTAACGAATTGTTTCTCACTCAGTTCTGAACGGATTCCATTGAAACTATATGCTAAATTCCTCATTCTGAAAGCTGCATCCAATCGGACCAGACTTATAGCCTGATGTTGAATTTGG